ACTTTAAACCTCTGAAAATCATGTCTTATCGGCCGGAATCTCAAAGATACACCACAATTTATGGTGCTACAATACCAGAAATACTAATACGGGCATTTGAAGAAAGAACAATTTGCTCACTATATAGAAAGTGTCATGGTTAAGATCTCACCTGGCAAGTTTATGAACATTTATTAGAAACAGTGACAGCGACTTTCCCCACCTACGCAGTTTTCTGCTTTTCTACAAAATTAGTATCTTTAAACAATATACTGTTGCTTTTCATATTTCCTTTAAGTTTTAAATTCGCTTAAGGCCGAGTGGCGTGACTTCATTAGTTTGATTCATACGTTAATTTCGGTCTGCGAGTGCTCGTCAATTCTTGGCAAATATCGGCGTCTGCGGTGTTATGCCATCTATCGTCGTTTTAAAGTCTAACACTTAACATCTAATCCTAAGGTTGGTCCTAGGCCTAACCCCAACCTGTAATCCAAACCCAAACCAAGACAAATCTGATTATCACCGAGTTTTGAAATGGTCACAGCTAAGTGGAGTTTATTTTCATGTATTGGGTTTAAAGAAATATACCGGAGACATTTAACAGTTCTTCAAAAGGCTGACTCTCGGGCAAATGTGATCCACGTTTGCCTACTTAATTTAACAGCTGTATGCGTGAAAGGGTAGCCAATCACTTAACCTACAACTGACGACTTTTAAATAAAGCGATCAAATGGATACATCCTTTTTCGACAGCTATCGCATTGGATAAACAGTTTAATCCTTATCGGTGCCGAAATCAAAATAAATTGCCTTTGTGTTTTGTTTTAGCACCAAAACAAACTTTAACTGCTGAGAACAAAGCACTATTTTTGGCGCACGTTTCTGAGAAATCGAGTCGCTTTAGTGTTGGCTGCAGAAATGAACCACCCACAGAACCAAAATTTCTGGCAAATGTTTGAGATGAATGGTCATGCTTTCTGTACAGATTACGTAAAACGTCCTGAGCGTTCCACACCGTAGATTTAAGCTAAGAGAAACTTTCCCGGTAAAATAATTCCGCATTCAAATCCGCATTAAAAGAGATAGAGAAAAGACGTTGGCACTATAAATTCGGTCGGGAAATGGGGCGAAATAATAAAAATTGATCATAGAAGGAGGTAGTGGAGAACCTATTCCGCAAACTGTAAAGCACTGGACGCCCAAAAATGAGCAGCCTTCAGTAATACCTAGTGGTCTCTTTCACCTAGAAATTTAACAAACAAGATACGAGAATAGGAATTCCAAGTAAACCAGGCAATATTGAAGTAAATTTTGGGGAATAAGGGTTCTTGTTAAATTTAGAGTTGTGATCAGATTTAAGGTTTAGGTATGACTTTAGGTCAAAG